GTCAGGGGCCTTGACAGGTCCGCCATTGCGTGATAGTGAAATGCAGCAGCAGCAGATAAGTGCAATATAGGGAGGTCTGGAATAGGAGGAGCCTGGCAGTGAGAGAGCCGCCCGTAATATTTCTAGCAGAGGCTGGTCTAGGCGTCCCAGTCCGTAGAATTTAGTCCGATTGGAGTCAAGGGTTGAGATCTGTACGTGTCTAGCTAGCTTTAGAACTTGAAGGTGACTTCTGAGCCGACTCAAAGGTCAGTCAGACTTGAGATCTGAAAGGATTGAGACAGCTAGCTCGAGAACTTGAAGCGAACACATGTTTCACTGCCAGCCTGGAACAGCTTCTTTATGCCACTAATGGGTTGAAAGCAGCGGGCCTGCGTATCCGAATCAGTGTCCCCAAAATCGTTTCGGTGCAGCATCGCAGCAAAAACGGAAAAAGCATTCGAAGCAGCACTGTGAGCTGCTTTTGTAGTAGATCGAGATGAGAGATGCCTCTGATGGAGGGGGATACTCCAAGACTGGACATTTGTAAGCCGGATTAAGCTGGTTGGCAGATCGGAAAGAAGGGGATGTGAAAGCGTCATGTAGGTTTGGTGTGTGCGGTATCTCCAACAAGGAATTATTCGTACAATAAGATCTTTTGCAGCATCGATGGTGACCTCGTTTCATGACGCCTCGGAACAACTTGACGAAGTCCGCATCACACGGAGGGCCCTCCACACCGTCAAGTAGTAACGATGATCGCCTCGCCACGCACGACGCCTCACTTTATTCAGCGGAGGCCACGCCAGATGTGCCATGGCGAGCCGCCGAATGTTCTAGAGAACGGGCCACACGACAAAGAACTCGCAGGACCAAAAGGACAGCTTGCTACAGTAAACGTGACTGCACGTGCGGATCCTCCACCCGTAACAACGACGAATACCGTGCTCCAGCCCTGCATTGCCGTGGTTCTCGACCATCCCAATGGCAAGCAAATGCAGCGACGCTGCTTACTGAAGATTGAAAGTGGGTAGCACAGACTATTTCGGCTTGCTATGAAACTTCCGAGTCTCGAGAGATGCTCTGTTCAACCACGCAGTTGAGCGGGCCTGACGCTCACTGCTCATCCAGCGCAGCAAGGTGCGCAAGTCAGCGTGTGAGCAAACACGCCGAGGGAATCGAAGCTCAATCAACGTGACCAAGAATCAGAACATGGTACAGTAATGCAGCAACCTGACTGCATTCTAGACTCCTAGGGTTTGTCGTGGGAAATTCCGATTGGCCCTATTGACGCGCGTGCGCGGAAAGAGGGATGGAGGAGGTGAGATGTGGGCGGTGGGCGGGGGATGGATGGGAGGAGCTGTGGGTGTCGGAGAGGTTCGAGGGGCGGGAAAGGGAAGGGAGAGGGGGAAGCGGAAGGGGTATGAAGCAAGGAAAGGGGAAGGACACTATGTTGGAGTGTGGACCAAACCAACGATGATGAAGGAGGACACGTCGAGAGGCTCGAGACGATCCGGTATGAGATGGGAAAGCGGTTCACATACACGGCTAGCTAGCCATTGGTGTACCTTGTTCATTATCTATGGATAGGCTTAGTCCGTCAAGCGATTGAACTAAAATATTCCACGTTCTCCCAAGCATATTTCCCCCTTCTTCTCTTGGCTACAGCTCACAAGCCGACTTCACGGATCCCACATCAACAACCAAGGTATATTTCCTTGTTTGTATTACCGTAAGCCCCCGGATAGAAGCGCAGGCCTCGGATAAGCGCCGACGCTTATAAAAGGATGAGGGCGCTTATATCCGCTCCTCGATTATAAGCGCATGCTTCAAGCCTTACGGATTATAAGCGCACCCCTACTACCTTACACATCATAAGCGCCACCATTAAAATTTTACATTTTTAAGTTTTACGCTGTTACAATTTGTATCCTACATTTTCTCTTAATATCTGGCTACATTTTCTATCAAATTTTCACGTCCTACACATTTCTACTTTACCCACAACCTATGCATCCTCCTCAGCAGTGGCACTGCCTTCGTCGGCGGTCTCACCGTCCGACTCTGGCTCGTCTACGTTGTTGCAGCAGAATCCATCTGCTGCAATCTCGTCGTCAAGATCCACTTCGCCTTTGACGGCATCCCGCAGGTGCTGCAGGCAGAGACCGTCCTGAGACCCGTCCAAGGCGTTACTGATGCCGCAGGTCAGAAACGAGCGCTCAATCAACTCCTTGGGCACCGCCTTCCAGGCCTTGGAGATCCACTTGAGCGTCAGTTCAGGTGGTGGCTTGCGGATGTTGCCTGCCACACGTTAAAGATTCATCAGTTACGGTAGAACAGGGTCAATAATTGAAAAACAGTCCTACCGGTAAATCTTAAATCTCACCTCTTTCAGTCAGGCAGTCAACACCCTCGCTCTCGAACCATTGCTGGTACTGTTGTCGCACAGCTGCTTTGAAGGAGCGGTTCACCGCGACGTCCAACGGCTGCACCTCCGATGTGCAGCCAGCTGGTATGACGGCCGGCACGATACGCAGCTCGCCGAATTTCGCCTTCACTTGATCAGTCAGGTGCCCGCGGTAGGAGTCAAGCACCAACATCGCCCTCCTGGTGCGCACTCCGAACCTCGGGTTGACGTACGGGCCCACCGTACCGTCGAGCCACGCGAGGACGCCTTCCGCGTCCATCCAACCGTTGGGATGTGCGGCGACCACGACATCTGCACATCCAAACAACGTTGAGATTGACATCAGAAAAAAAAAAACACATGCAAATCCTACCGGGACTGCACAAGCTGCTCGGCTTACCGGAGGGGAAATTCCCCTTTGGAACTGTCTTGCGCTTAAAGAACACCCAGGGCTTGAGCTTCTCGCCGCTAGCGGTGCACGCGAGCATCACCGTCACGCGTTCCTTTTGATAGCCGCCGCTGCTGCGGATGGGCACGGAGCGGACCCCCACCTCCTCGACAGTGCGTTCAGCTGGCATTTCGAGACAGAGCGGGGTCTGATCAGCATTTATGATCCAGCGGTTGTCGATTCCGTACTGTCGGCGGGTGTGTCGCACGAACTTCCAGAAGTTTCGCACTTGCGTCTCGCACTCTGGAAGGGACGAGGAGGCAGAAACCATAAAAAAACATTAACTATCGACCGGTTGGCAATGGGGATAAACAAGAGCGAATACAAAAAGCCCACTCACCGGAGGATAGTTTCTGGCCGACACGGGTCTTAGCTCGGGTAGTGAGATTCCAGCGGCGCCGAAAACGCTCGGTCCACCTCTGAGATCCCGCCCACTTTACCTCAGGATGCAGACTCTTCATCACCTCTCGCGACCACTGCTGCAGGCGGCCGACCGACACTGCGAGGCACTTTTTCCGGGCGGCAAGTACTCGTGAGTAGACCTGGATCTCCATGTCGCGATACCACGACGACCGACCACGCCCGTGAAGACGCTTGCGAGCCCCATGCGCGCCCTCCAGCTCACCCTTCCGCGATTTCCATACTGCCAGGGACTTTCGGGAGATACCAGAGTCGCGTGCCATCTTCCGCATACTCACGGCACCGGACTCCAGCTGTGAAATCCAGTGCAGCTTCTCCTGAGAAGTATAGGAGTGCCGCTTGTGCCTTGAGCGCCTGCTCCTGGGAGACGGGGGGCGGGAATCACGATTCTGGGTGCAGGGGTGGGGCCTTTTTTTATTGGGCGGGGGAAAACTTGGGACAGGCAAGTCCTCGGGAAGACCGTCGGCCGCCCACCACTCAACATCGTCTTCGGCACCGGTGGCGGATTCGTCGTGCGGGCAGTCTTACGGGTCTCCCCAACGTGGCGAAAGACCGGGACCGGTTTCATCTTCGTCGCTGCGCTCGGGCTCGTGCTCGGGCTCGGAGATGTACGCATCGAAAGCAAAGTAGCCGCGAGGGAGAAGCTGCAGAATGGGCACACCGTTGATGACGACGATAGGCGGAGCGGGAGGAGCAGGAGGCGCTGGAGGTGCAGGAGGCGCAGGAGGAGCAGGAGGCGCAGGAGGAGCAGGAGGTATTGGCGCTGGACGACTCTGCCACTGGGAGTAATCGGGAGCTTTGTCAGCAGCACCTCGGCGCTTAAAGAGGAAATGGGTGCCTGGTCGGCCCGCCATAGCTAAGGCAGGCCGATGGGAAACAAGAAATATGAAAAAAAACAGGGAGAATGAAGCATGTTTGAAACCCTTGCCCGAGACCCCTCCAACTTCGCGGCCCAGGTTCCTCTGCAGGCTAAGGGGAGAAACAGTCAAGATCTCCCCACAGAGGAGCTGATGTGGTGAGGTCCAAGCGTACGGGGCAAGGAATCTTGCCCCGTTTGTGGTTTTACTGCGTCGTGGCTAGCACGACAGTCGGCCCTGATTGGGCAGTCGCACACTAAACGACGTGTGCGTTGGCATGGGCCAGATTCGGTACGATGAATCTGGCCTGGCGAGCAAGGCGTGGCGGGCGTGATTCCGCGCCTTGTTGGCAATTTGACGTGCGTTTCATGCACAACTCGAACGTTCTAGATGTGGATTGAATCCCCGTTTGAAAAGGCTTCAAATACATGTAAAAAAACACCATTTCAATTTTGCCTTTTTATAGGCGCCGGCGCTTATAAAATTCCTCAATTATAAGCGCACCCCCTAAAAAACAGTGTTTTATTATAAGCACAGGGGCGCTTCTATCCGGGGGCTGACGGTATCAGGTGTGGTGTGGTGTGATCACTCGTTCGCAATCTTAATGGAAAGTTGCTTTTCAGCACAAGGTATGTAGCGTCTAAGAGGCTGCAGCTTTAATGATAAGGTTAAACTGTGCGTGCGCCTTCATTAGAGAGGGAAAATGGCTGTTTGGGAGGACATATCGAATGTGACATTATCCCAATTCACTATCCCTTACAAACTCAATAACACTGCAGGACAGCATCGTGTAGCAACCCAGACCTAACTAACTAGTATTCAAATACGTTCGAGGCTCAAAGAAATACGTTCAAATACGCACTGTACAAAGAAATCCCTTTGAAGCTCTTTCTTACGCCTCCCAAAAGACGGTCGGGTCCTCCGCCAGCAGGGTGCGATCCTGAATCTCCAGATTTGCCACATGGCGGTCTATAACTCGTGCTTGAGCCAACTTACATGCCACAAACATGGCTGGGAACAGCAGCCACGTGAACTCCTCTGCTGCTGCTGACTCCCTGAACGGGGAAGGGAGAAAAGTTGAGCGAACGGGAAAGAAGAAACCGGGGAGGGGAGGGGAGGGGAGGGGAGGGGAGGGGAGGGGAGGGGAGGGGAGGATGGGTGGGAAAGAACGAGCACTTGAGACCTTCAAGAAAGCCAGCTACGTGAAATTCTCTGATGCGGCTGACTCGCCGATTTGCGAAAGTCAAGGGAGGGTCGCATGAGGCACTAAGATGAGGTTTTGCCGCTGACTTTCCTCTGCATCATCCCTTGACTTTCCTCTGATGCTGTTGACTCGTGCCTTTTTCTTGTTTCACGAGGCACCGAAAAGGAGTCATGCGCGGCAAAATTGCGTGGCAAAACTTCAACCAGTTTGATCTCATTTCTGCTCGAATGGGGACGATTCGCCTGGCTCGCTCTGTTGTTCTCACCTGGGAGGAGCACCTGAGGGAGTGCCCTTGTAAGTTTGCCATACATGAAACACTCCCAGGGTCACAGCAACCACCTGAAAAGGGAGTGAAAAGGAAGGGCGTGAAAAAGAGGAGAGGGTAAAAGAAGATAATGGCTAATAGAGTGGAAGGAGCCAAGGAGTCGAAGAAGAGAAAAATCACAAGAGTGAAAGGGGCCAGAGGAAGGCTGCATGGAATGCAAAAACAGAAACACAAAGGCTGAAGAAGGTTTTTGATTATGCTGCTGCTAGCCATGCAATCGCTCTGCTGATCAACCACAACAAACCCATTACCTAGCCCGCTGGCCTGCCGATTAACACGAGAATTCGAGCCTTTCGCACTCAACTTCAACCCAAACCATAGCGTGTTTTTTGAGAATTCTCAAAGAACTTCAACCCAAACCATAGCCCACTCACCCCGTTGGCAAGGGAAGTGACGTTCCACAGCCCATACACCCTCCCCAGCCCCGCTCCCCCCCTCGCCCCGTGGGCAAAGAGGGCATTCAGCCCCGCTGCTGCTGAGAAGAGCGGCGCGAGCGGCAGGACAAAGAGCATGAGAGCGAAGGCGAGGAGGGAGGTGCTGTAGGATTGCAGCAGGCAGAGGAGGAAGAGACAGAGGTCCGCCAGGAGCAGCATAGACATGGCTAGTCCCACTGCTGCCTGCATGTGAGAGAAGGGAGGGGAAAGAGAAAGAGGGGCAGGACAAAGAGCATGAGGGCGAAGGCGAGGGGGGAGGTGCTGTAGGATTGGAGGAGGCAGAGGCAGAGATCGGCCGGGCAAGCACAACCCCCAATTCAGAGTCGACTGAAAAGTCGGAAAAAAAAAAACGGAACAGAACAGAATGAATAGAACTCACATCATGGCCAACAGGCAGAGTGTTCCGCAGCAGCAACCCACAGCCAGGTAGGCAGAGCCCTCGCCCCCCATCCAGCCGCTGCAGCACCTGTGCGTCTATCAACCCCCCCTGCTGCCTCTTCCCCACCCGCCCCCCCGCCGCCTGCCACAGCAACCCTGCAGAAACTGACGAAATCTGCCGCTCCACTTCCCTCCTCTCGCCGCCCCTTCTTGTGTCCTTGTCACTTAGCAAAGAGAGATTCTCAGGAATCGAGCCGTGGATGCTTCTTGCCAGACCGCTTCCCGAGCCTGTGTCGAACCTGGGAGCAAAGTGAGCCGAGCCAGCAGGACCGGGAGTAGGCTCGGCAGAGGGGAGGATTGAGAGGGACGGTCGATGTTCGAACCTGTGAGGGGAGAGAGGGGGGAGGGATGCAAGGGAGGGGCTTCGCTCCCCTCCTGACTGCTGTTGCTGCTGAGAGGGAAGTTTGACTGATAGTGCTCGAGCCGGCAACCGAATACTCAGAGCTTCTTGCTGCCTTTGCTGCTGCTGCTGCTGCTGCTGCTGCTGCTGCAAAGCATTCTGAGAGTATAGTCTACCAACGCCCTCCCCACCCAGTGCTGACAACGGGCGCGGTCGCAAAGGGGTGTGAGAAAGGTGAGGAGAAAGAAGAGGAGGAGGAGGATGGGGGGACTGATAGGGAGGAGTGTTCACACCCCCATACCCACCCAAACCACCTCCTCCGGTATATCTGTTCTGTGTGACTCTATTTCCTGTGACTGTAGGGGGGGAACGGCCACCAGATGTGACACTAGCGCTCCCAGCCCTGCCCGAATAACCAGCGTTGAAGCCGCCAGGTGGCAAGTAACGAGTGGATAAGCCTGCTGACGTGGCGACAGCTGGTTGGGTGGAGGCGTCTCGTAAGAGAAGGAGAGCGTCGAGTTGGGAGGGTAGGGTCATGGGGAGGGGGGAGGGGGAGGTGGAGTAGGGGTGTGCGGTGGAGGAGGTGGGAGTGGCTGTTAACAAGTATGGGTTGTAGAGAGAGGTTGCAGGGTAGTGATTGAGGTAGGGGTTTGAGAGAAGAGAGGACGGGGAGATGCTTTGCTGCCACTGCTGCCGCCGCTGCTGCTGTTGTTGCTGCTGTTGCTGCGGTTGCTGCTGCTGGTGCTGCTGCTGCTGCCGATGCGAGTTGTGTTGGTGCGGGGTGTGTTGATGCGAGAGCGAGGAGTCAGAGCGGGAGAAGGCAGGAACCTCTGACAAGGCCTGAGCGTGCGAGGAAAGCAAAGAGACAGGAGCAAAGGCAGAGGAGGGAAGTGCCGCAGGAGGAAGAGCGGAATGGGAAAGAGTGGCAGTGCGAGGAGATGGCAATGCAGAAACAGAGCCTCCGGGTCTCGTTCTCTCTACCGGCCTTCCCCATCCTGTGTCCGAACCACCGAACCCACCCAGCCGACTGCTCCCGAAGCTGCTGCCGAAGCTGGCCAGGTTCGGCGCAGCTGCTGAAGCAAAGGAGGTGAGGCTCGGAGCAGAGAAGTGGCCGGCAGTATCGGCAGCAGCAGCAGCAGCAGCTGAAGAAGGAGGGAGATAGTCATTGCAATGATCGGTGCTCTCAGGGTGGTCGAGACACAGAGCGAGCTGGATTATGCTGGCTGATGTTGGCTGTGGTTGTAGAATCAATGGGGAAAGAGGAGAGGGAGGGGGAAGGGAGAGGAGAGAAAGGGGGGGTCAGAAAATATTGAGCTGGAGAGGACACAGGGCGAGCTGGATTATCCTGGTGTGGGGGACAGGTGGGTGCAGGAAGCGGGAGAGAGGGAGGGACGGGAAATGGAGAGGGAAGAGGGGAGGTAGTCATTGCTGAAGAAGAGAAACTGATGGAGAGAAAGTGATGTAGATAAAGTGATGGAGAGAAACTGAAGGAGAGAAACTGATGGAGAGAAACTGATGGAGAGAAACTGATGGAGAGAAACTGACGGAGAGGAACTGATGGAGAGAAACTGATGGAGTGAAAATGATGGAGAGAAACTGATGGAGAGAAACTGATGGAGAGAAACTGATGGAGAGAAACTGATGGAGAGAAACTGATGGAGAGAAACTGATGGAGAGAAACTGATGGAGAGAAACCGATGGAGAGAAACCGATGGAGAGAAACTGATGGAGAGAAGGGAGGAAGGAGTGACTTTACATGGCAGCGACTGCAGTGCGGATACAGAGAGTAGGATAGGAGGAGAAGGGCAGTGCACCTGTAGCCAGGCGAGGTGTGCGGCGGACGCGTCGTGGGCTTTTAGTGGGTGGTTGACGTGCATGCACAGGCAGCGCAGCTCGGGATGCAGTGGGCGAGACTAGATGAAAGGGCAAGACAAGGATGAGGAGCAAAGCAAGGGGCGCACCTGCAGCCAGGCGAGGTGTGCTGACACGCCGTGGGCTTCCAGCGAGGGGTTGACATGCGTGCACAGCCAACGCAGCAGTGGTTTCAAAGACCTCTGCAGGGAGCCGTGGCTGACAGTGCGGAGGTGGGCGTTCAGCCCTGCTACCAGGCGGTACCACACTGTGGGGGGGATGGCCTGGGATGGCATGTGGGGGTAGGAGGGGAGGGTGAATAGGAGGGGCGGAGGAGAGCGGCATCAATGATTGCAAAGCCAGTGCAGCAGGGGTTTCAGTGGCTTGTGCAGGGAGTCGACTTTTGAGACGCCTCAAAAGTGGCTTGTGCAGGGAGCTGTGGGTGACAGTGCGCAGATGAGCGTTCAGCCCTGCCACCAGACGGTACCACACTGTGGGGGGGATGGCCTGGGAGGGGTTGGCATGGATGGAAGGGTTGACGGCAGGGGGGATGAGAGGGTAGGGAGGGAGTTTGATTTAAGTTGAATTGAAAGAAGGTATGAGGGCACCAAATAACACACCTGACCTCAAGTACATATTTGTAAGCACGCCCAACGGCATATCTGACAAACAAACAAAAGCGCAGCTGATCTGAGAACCCACCAGAGAGCATGTCCGCATAACTGCCTGAGGAAACACCTGAGAGCACACCTGGGAGATGATGTTGGTGAGAAGGTCGTCGGTGAAGAGATGGTACGGCGCCATGTACGAGCCGTTGCCGCCCAGCACCAGCAGCAGTGGCAGGCGGTCAGCGAAGCTCGGCAGCATGTGCGTGGCCATCTCGTCGCCGCCCAGAAACACGTCCATGTAGCCCAGGACTAGATCCGGGGTAGCTGACACCTGGGGGAGGTGGCATTTGGTTTGGAGATACCAGAGGTACCAGGGGGTACCAGGGGGTACCAGGGGGTGAGAGGCGGAGACAAGACACACGTCCATGTAGCCGAGGACTAGATATGGGGTAGCTGACACCTGGGGGAGGTGGTATTCGGAGGTACCAGGTAGCAGGGAGTGAGAGGGACAAAGAAGGCAATACGTTGGTATCTAGAAACGGTGTTTTCTAGAGACAGTGGTCTCTAGAAACTGGTGTGCCCACACCAAGGAGATACTGTGGTCTTTTTAGGGAGAAGATGAAGGCTCAGACTTATACATAAGATTTGTGGTGATCCGGGGGTGAAAGGTAACACGCTCAGCACCTTGTCTCGTTTATAAAGGCCGTATGTTTCTGAGATGGAGAAATAACAGGCTCACTTGATGACGTGGCTTTTGAGTCGACTCAGAAGGTAGAAGTCACTGTTCAACTCACCTTGAGTCCTTCGTCGTAGAGGGCACGGTAGCGGCAGGAGCGCAGGCAGTAGTGGTCGTAGCGCGTGTGAACAAACTCCCTCCGCAGCGTGCCTTTTGAGTCGAATGAACCGACTCCCCCAGCCTAAATCCCCGCTCACCTTGAGCCCTTCGTATAGCGCGCGGGAGCGGCAGGAGCGCAGACACGAGTGGTCGTAGCGCGTGTGAACAAACTCCCGCAGCCGCTGCACCACCAGGCGGCGCCGCCACTGCTGCCACGACCACGCAAACGGCAGCGCGAGCAGCGCCAGCAGCGAGTGCACACACCCCTCCCACCACCGGTAGCACGCAATGGCGTTAACCTCGTCTACGAGACGGTTGTATGAGTCTTCGTATACGAGATCGGAGATTGCGCGCGGCGGGGAGTGTGGGAGGTGCAGCGGGTGCGAGAAGGAGTTGTCTCCGCAGAAAAAGACTCGGTGGACGTGTGAGGCTGCTTCTTCTACCCTCGTATTCTCCATCACCTGGTGGGGAAGTGGGGAAGTGAGAGAAGGAAACGTATTTGACTCTGCAGCGGGTGCGAGAAGGAGTTGTCTCCGCAGAAGAAGACCCGGTGGACGTGTGAGGCTGCTTCTTCCACTCTTGTGTTCTCCATGACCTGGTGGGGAAGAGGGGAAGTGAAAAAGGGAAACTTTATTTGACTCTGCAGCGGGTGTCAGAAGGAGTTCTCTCCACAGAAGAACACCCACGCACCTCATTGAGGCACTCTAGGAAGGGCAGCGAGTGGCCCATGTGCGAGCGAGGACACATTCGAATCCCTCAATTGAGGCGACAAGACAGCAGCACACCCCAGAGCCACAACCCACGCACCTCGTTCAGAGACTCCAGAAAAGGCAGGGAGTGGTCCATATGGGAGGACACATCAGAGTCCCTCGTCTGCGGCTGGGCCAGATCGTCCCCTGCCAGCAGCAGCACGGAGAGAGTGCACGCCAGGTCGGGCACCCACGCACCTCGTTCAGAGACTCCAGAAAAGGCAGGGAGTGGTCCATATGGGAGGACACATCAGAGTCCCTCGTCTGCGGCTGGGCCAGGTCGTCCCCTGCCAGCAGCAGCCTGGCGCGCGCGAGAGTGATCGCAAAGCCCAGCAGCAGCACAGAGAGCGTGCATGCCAGCGCGAACACCCAGGGCCCGCCCAGGTCGCGGATTAGACCTTCCATTGGTGTGTCGCAGTGGGGCAGGGAGAAGTGCGAGGAGAGACAGCGGTAGGGGCAGGGAGTGGCACTGGCGCCGCCTGGAAGGAGGGAAGGGAGCGGGTGAGGGGAATGGGAGGGAGGGAGACGATATTCACGGACCCAAAGTACTGAATCAACGCATCGTTTGAGTTGAGGCGCCTCAACAGCCACAACACATGGACGCTCGCATGCATCCCATCCCACCGCTGGTTTTTGAGAATTCTCAAAAACCACATCGACGCTCGCATGCATCCCATCCCACCACGTTGGGGAAAACCAACTCCCTCCCTCCCTCCCTCCCTGCATGCATGCATGCACCATACCTCCCATGCAAAGCACCCCCCGTGCCATAGCAGCTCGAGCGGGCTCGGTATACCTCCCATACATACCTCCCATACATACCTCCCATACATACCTCCCATACATACCTCCCATACATACTTCCCATACATACCTCCCATACATACCTCCCATACATACCTCCCATACATACCTCCCATACATACCTCCCATACATACCTCCCATACATACCTCCCATACATACCTCCCATACATACCTCCCATACATACCTCCCATAAATACCTCCCATACATACCTCCCATACATACCTCCCATACATACCTCCCATACATACCTCCCATACATACCTCCCATACATACCTCCCATAAATACCTCCCATACATACCTCCCATACATACCTCCCATACATACCTCCCATACATACCTCCCATAATACCTACCTCCCATAAATACCTCCCATAAATACCTCCCATACATACCTCCCATACATACCTCCCATACATACCTCCCATACATACCTCCCATACATACCTCCCATACATACCTCCCATACATACCTCCCATACATACCTCCCATACATACCTCCCATAAATACCTCCCATACATACCTCCCATACATACCTCCCATACATACCTCCCATACATACCTCCCATACATACCTCCCATAAATACCTCCCATACATACCTCCCATACATACCTCCCATACATACCTCCCATACATACCTCCCATAAATACCTCCCATAAATACCTCCCATAAATACCTCCCATACATACCTCCCATACATACCTCCCATACATACCTCCCATACATACCTCCCATACATACCTCCCATACATACCTCCCATACATACCTCCCATACATACCTCCCATACATACCTCCCATAAATACCTCCCATACATACCTCCCATACATACCTCCCATACATACCTCCCATACATACCTCCCATACATACCTCCCATAAATACCTCCCATACATACCTCCCATACATACCTCCCATACATACCTCCCATAAATACCTCCCATAAATACCTCCCATAAATACCTCCCATACATACCTCCCATACATACCTCCCATACATACCTCCCATACATACCTCCCATACATACCTCCCATACATACCTCCCATACATACCTCCCATACATACCTCCCATACATACCTCCCATACATACCTCCCATACATACCTCGCTTGTAGGCGAACTCAGCATGGCGAGCCAGCAGGTCGAGCGGGCAGCGCAGGAACAGGGAAGGATCAGAGCCCGACTGGCTCTTGAAGGTGCCCACGGGGCACTCCTCACACAACAGCCCCACCAGCCGTCCCTGGTGGGGCCAGCAATCACACCACAGAACCGCATCCAACCACATTGTACTTACCTCGCTTGTAGGTGAATTCAGCATGGTGTGGCAGGAGGTCAAGCGGGCAGCGCAGGCAGAGAGAAGGATCAGATCCGGACTGGCTCTTGAAGGTGCCCACAGGGCACTCCTCACACAACAGCCCCACCAGCCCCGGTGGGCAGTCTGCTGATCCTGTCAGTCCCGCCTCGCCATCCTCCCCCTCGTAGCTTCCCTGCCCTCCACTTGTTCTAATAACGTCAGTCCAGTTCCCCTCGATAGTAGCACGAGGGTTGTACTCATCCCCTCGCGTCCGCTCCAGGTTTTGCCATGCAAAGTACACCTTCCCTCCGCCCCCTCCACCTCCCCCCACCGAATGCCCCTGCCCCCCTGCAGCCGATATCACAGACCCACGAGTCATGTTCAGGTAAGCTGCATGAATCACCACTGTTCCCCCTGCCCCTCCTCCCACCCCTCCGCTTCCCACTTCCTCGCTTCCGCCTGTCATTCCCACTTCCTTGCCCTCCAATCCTGCTCCTCCGCTCCCCACTCTCCTTTCTCCGCCCCTCACTCCTCCTCCTCCCATCCCCAATCCCATCCCTTCGCCCCCTACAGTGCGTGTGTTGAGAAACGAGCCGTCTGCTGCCAGAGAGCCGCCCCACAGCTCCAGACGAGCCACAGGACCCAGTACTGGCCGGGGGGGGTTGGGGAAGGGAAGGGGGAAAGGATGGGAGAGGAAGGAGAAAAAGAGAGACTCGCCTCCCACAGTGCGTGTGTTGAGAAACGAGCCGTCTGCTGCCAGAGAGCTGCTCCAGAGCTCCAAGCGAGCCACAGGGCCCAACACTGGGGGGGAAACGGCGAAAAGGGAGGAAAGCGGAGAGCAGATGGGAAGAAAATGAGAAAATAAGGCTCAACGCGAACACCTGCTGCCAGAGAGCCGCCCAGAGCTCCAGGCGAGCCACAGGGCACAGCGCTAGGGGGAATGGGGGAAAACGGAGAGCGGGGAGGTAGAGGAAAACTAAGTCTCAAAGCAGACGTCACCCGCCTATCACCGCACGCACTTATCATCTCACTCTCACCTTTCACCTCACCCGCTTATCATCTCACTCTCACCTTTCACCCACTTATCACCCCACCCACCTATCAGCCCGCCTCCGCTGTTCCCCCGACCCTCCGGCCCCAGCCCACCCCCACTCCCGACACTGCAGGGCGGCATCGTTCGTCCGTATGCAGCGCCTCCTGCCGCCCGGGACCCGTTGAAATGGCCGGCACCGCCCTTGCCCCCATGCCCCCCTCCGCCACTGCCCCCTGCTGGTGCGTCCCTGCCATGCCCCACGCCATGGCCCGGCGGGCAACCTGGTGGGAAAACAAAAAGGGGTTGAGCATGGAAGGGCGGGCAGACAGGAAGGTGAGAGAGAGGAGAAAAAGGGTCTTTCTTTCCCCCATGCCCCCCTCCTCCACTCCCCCCGGCTGGTGCGTCCCTGCCATGCCCCACGCCATGGCCCGGCGGGCAACCTGGTGGGAGCGGGGGAAAAGTAGAGTGAGAAAGAGCAAAGAAAGAGCCCTTCGTCTTCCCATGCCCCCCTCCTCCGCTTCCCCCTGCTGGTGCATCCCTGCCATGCCCTACCCCATGGCCCGGCAGGCAACCTAGAGGGAAGGAAAAAGGGGGTTGAGCACAGGAAGGCAGACAGGAAGGTGAGCGAGAGGAGAAAGAGAGGCGTTCTTTCCCCCATGCCCCCCTCTCCTCCATTACCCGCTGCTGGTGTGTCGCTGCCATGCCATGCCCCACTCCATGGCCCAGCAGGCAACCTAGTGTACAGGGCCCAGAAGGGGACAAGGAGGGGACAAGGAGGGGATAAGGAGGGGACAAGGAGGGGACAAGGAGGGGACAAGGAGGGGACAAGGAGGGGACAAGGAGGGGACAAGGAGGGGATAAGGAGGGGACAAGGAGGGGACAAGGAGGGGATAAGGAGGGGACAAGGAGGGGACAAGGAGGGGACAAGGAGGGGACAAGGAGGGGACAAGGAGGGGACAAGGAGGGGACAAGGAGGGGACAAGGAGGGGACAAGGAGGGGACAAGGAGGGGACACGGAGGGGACAAGGAGGGGACAAGGAGGGCCCAAGAATTCTCAAAATCAACCTCAAACAAAATGGGCCCAAGGAGGGGACAGCAGATCAGGGTGAAGAGAAAACAGAGAGGGGTGGGGAAGGGAGAAGGTGAAGAAGAGGAAAAAGACTGCTGACAATTCCCCGATGCCCCCCTCCTCCACTCCCCCCGGCTGGCGCAGCGCGTCCTCCTCGCCATGCTCTATGCCATGACCTGGCAAGCAACCTGCCATACAGCTGCCACTCACCAAGGCCGGAGGCAGAGATGGAGGCTCAGTGGTCGATGACAAGTGAGGAGGAGGCATGTATGCGCACCAATGAAGTGAGCAAGGTAGGAAGGCTTTTGAGACATCTCAATAGGCATGTATGCGCACCAATGAAGTGAGCAAGGTAGGAAGGGAACGAAGGTGATAGTGAGGATACCGATACGCTTTCTTCCAAGAGAAAGCAACTGCCATGAACAGGCCTCTCTAACCGCACAACTTCCACTCACCAAGGCCAGACGCAGAGATAGAGGCTCGGTGGTCGATGACAAGTGAGGAGGAGGCATCTATGCGCACCAACGCCCCCTCCATTGCCCCTTGCAATGCCCCTTGCACATAAACAATGTACCAACACCTCTAACCATGCACCTGGCACTCACCAAGGCCCGAGGCAGAGATAGAGGCTCGGTGGTCGATGACCAGAGAGGAGGAGGCATCTATGCGCACCAATGCCCCCTCCATCGCCCCTTGCACGTACAGGCTGTCGAGACGACAGACCTGCACAGGTGGAGGAGAGGAAGGCAAAATATAGGTTTCGCAAGGAGGGAGGATGATGGGGAGGGCAACGGATGTGGACTTTCTGTGGCTTGAGACGTCTCAGAACAGTTTTGTGAGGAAGGGAGGAGGATGAGGGAGGGCCGGAAGCAGTTATGGAAGGATGTGGACGAATGAAGGAGCATGAGGTGAGGGAAGTCACATGGAGGGAGAAGGGAGATTCACTTTTGAGGCGCCTCAAAAGAACTCACATGGAGGGAGAAGTGAGATTCACTTTTGAGGCGCCTCAAAAGAACTCACATGGAGGGAGAAGTGAGATTCACTTTTGAGGCGCCTCAAAAGAACTCACATGGAGGGAGAAGTGAGATTCATCCTCGCTGCTGCAGTCGTGGTTGGGCTGCACCACACTGGACGGACACTCCTCCACATGACAGTACGGCAGGTCACCTGTCTGCACTGCAAACCCCCCATACTGTGACGCCACCGCAAAATAGGAGGAGGAAGAGGAGGAGGAAAAGTTACTGCCCCAGCGCCCACTTGTCACCTTGCCACTGTTTGGCTGCCGCTGTACCAGAGAGACGCTCGGCTGTAGCGGGGAGTCTGGCTGTAGAGGAAAATCCGGCTGTAGTAGTGAGTAGTAGTTTGGATTGCTGCTGCCGCCCTCAGAGAGTGACTGGAGGTGGAGGAGGGCGGCGTGAGAGAGAGGGGCGGCAATCCGGCTGCCGCCCAGAACCCGGACAGCGATGAACATGGAGATGAGGAGCTTTTTGGCGGTTAGCAGGCTCCTGCCGCCCAGAGCCAGCTCGTTCTGTCCGTGCAGCCACACGTGACCCGAGCTGACCAGGGAGGAACCGCCCTGAGAATGGGGGGGGTTGGAGAGGAGGAGGGGCAAAGGGGTTCAGTAAGAGTCAGGAAGGATCAGAGTCTATTGAGTGAAGCAAGCGAGGAAAAGAGAGACAGCTAGCTCGTTCTGCCCATAAAATGAAACTATACGACTTTTGAGACGTCTCAAAAGTCATTCTGCCCATAAAATGAAACTATACGTGGCGTGAGCTTGGCAGGGAAAAACCGTCCTGAAAGGAAAGACAGGGAGGGGGGGTTGAATTGAGAGAGCAGTGGGGTGGAGAGAAGGGAGAGTACGCGCATTATGCCTGCCCATGCCGGTGCAGCCACACGTGGCGTGAGCTGACCAGAGAGGAACCGCCCTGAGAGACGGGCGGGAAGGAGGGAGGAATTTAAGCTCACATGCCCACCTAGGGCCCAACTACACTGAGTATTGCGGGAACGAGAGTCAGACAAAGTTGCTTGCTTCTGAGTCTACTTTTGAGCCTGGTTCACTCGTTGTTTGACTTGAGTTGCCTGAGAGGACAGAAACGGAACTTACAGTAAGGGAGAGGTAGTTGCCATCAATGCTTGAAAATCCCATGGATAGTCCGCTCTTATGCGGCTTCCTCCCGTTGGCCCCTCGCCTCCCCTTGCTGCTGCTACTGCTAGTTCTGCCACTCTCACTGCCACCACTGCCGTTGCTGCTACCGCTGCCATCACCACCACTGAGCTGGCGAGCCGTGCAAGCAGCAGCAGCAGCAGCACCAGCGAGCTGGTGTATGCGCAGAGAGGAGGTGGAGTGCAGGTTGAAGTGCGAGGCGAAGACCTTGATCGTCCCATACACCTCCAGAGTCGCATTCGTGAGTGTCAGATTCGCCACCACCACCTCCACCTCCGCCTCATCAGGATCCAACGGTGGAGATGGCGCCGGCTGATCTCCCCCTCCGCCCCCTCCGCCCCCCCCTCCCCCCGTGCTGCTTCCAAACAGCACACTGGAACCTTCTCGGAACCACACGCAGGATCGGATTCGGAGGCGGAAGTTTCGGGTGAGAGCGACGACTTTGGCCCCCCCTTCCACTATAATGCCGTCCCAGTAGGGGTACAGCGGCACGGTGAAGAGCGGTGTGAAGGTGTGCGAGGGTTGGTTGGAGTTTCCTATAACGAGGGTTTGTTTGGCCCAGTTGAAGACTGTTCCGGCTGAGCCTGCGTTATAAGGGCAGGCCTCACTGGGTCCCCCAGTGGCTTGGATGTATAGGGCGGGGGAGAGGGCGGATGAGGGGGAGGGGGAGGCGGAAGGGGACGGGGAGGAGGGGGAGGGGGAGCGGGAAGTTGGGGGGGGCTGGTATTGGATGGCCACGCGCCCCCCTGCGCCTCCCCCGTGTCCCTTCCCCCCATTGGCGCAGATGCGCCCAGTGCCTTGGCTGGTGGGGAGTGGTGGGGGGAATGGGGGGAGAGACGGGGACGAGGAGGGGCGGAGAGGTTAGAGGAAGAGAAAGTGCCCAGTGGATGTGTTGGATTAAACAGGAAGAGTAAGGAAAATGATTTAGACGTCTCACAACTAGAGAAAGTGCCCAGTGCTTGTGTTGGATCAAACAGGAAGAGTAAGGAAAAGCGGAGAGAGGGAGTGACGGGAGATGGGGGAGGGAGGAGGGCGGAAGGTGGTGTGTGGGGGGTGGGAGGGGGGGGGGTGGAGGGGCGGGGAGAGGGAAGCGGCGAGGAGGGGGAATTGGGGAGGAGAGGAGAGAAAGAGGAGCGGTAAGCAGGGGAAGGTGGAGGGGGACTGACTTACATTGACGAGGCATTAACAAACACACTCCCACCGGACCCTCCCCCCCCAAGCCTCCCCATGCTGCCCATCTGTGCATCCCCCCCATCCGCGTCTATCCGCCCCTCCACCACCACATCCCCCCGCACCACAATGCGCACTCGCCCTCCCCCCAGCCCCCCCCCATCCGCCTCCCCCAACGCTCCCCCCTTGCTACCCGTTTTCCAGGGATCTGTGAGGGTAGACCAGGCATACGCATCTCCCCCCCATGATTCCGCCTCCGCCCCCCATCCGCCTCCGCCCCCGCTCTCCCCCATAGCACTGTTCCCTCCGCCCACGCCACCCCTGCCGCTGCTGCCGCTCCTGCCGCTCCTGGCGCCCGCATTGCCACTGTTCATGCTCCTGTGCATGGCACTGTTCACGCTACAAGACGCTCCTCGCCCACCGTACCCGCCGCCCGACCCCTTCCCATCGGTCGGCGTCCCACTTGTCTGATCCGGCGCCTTTGCAGCCAGCCCCTTGGCCGTTACTGCCGCCCCAAACCCCACAGTCAGCCGCCCGGTTTCGACCAATAGCGTGCAGGCTGCCAGGCTGGCACCTTCTCGCAGCATGACAGCTGTCGCCATGCGAATGGAGAGGGAGCAGTCGGGCTGGGCGGCAGGAGGTGGTCCCTGGACGGCAAAAAATGACCTATTATTGCGACTGCTGCTGCTGCTGCTGCTGCTGCTGATGATGATGATGATGGTATTACTGCTGCTATCACTACTCCTGCTGCTACTGTTGCTTTTCCCACCAGCTATTCCGCATGCCAGGCTGGCACCTGCAAGAATCTCCAGCGTGCCGTTTCCAGAAACCTCCGTCCCGTCAGGAACCAACACGTGGCTGCTGATTTGACACGTGGCGTCCAGAGAGCCCACCCCGCCAAGATCATCCTCGCAGCTGATCGCCCTGTACGCGATAGTAGCCGTGTTCCGCGCTACACTGCCGTCGGTTTTCGAACCAACGTTACTTCTACTGCCGATGCTCCTTCTAGGCGCAATGTACTCAATATACTCGTTTCGTCTCGTCTTTTTACTGATGTCGAGTGCTTCAGTAGGGAGAGATACATTGTAACTGTTATTTCGATGCCAAACCGCTGGATGATCGGAAGCAGCGGAGGACGGGAAAGAATTAGGGAATTCAGAAACAGCCACTCCTTGTACGACAAACGAACCTCCTAAAACGAGTACGCCGAGCAGCGGGAAGATACGCACCCGCCATAAACGCAACAACCCACCCCCGAATTCTGAAGGGAATAGCTTGGAGCAATTCCGGCCACGGCTCGCGAGGCTCGCGACGGGTAACCCGGCAAGGCATCTTGGCGTCGCCACTGCGTGCTGGTCCTTGGAAATGATGCAGTCCATGTCGTCAATAGACGGGCTGAGAACGTATTCTGCTTTATAATCTACCTGTCTGGAACCGCCTCAAAAAGGAAAGAAACGAAGAATCCTTCCCGAAAGTATAGGATCCATTACGCACGTTTGGGATAGAACCTCCTCATAACGCGGCATCACGGTGATGCACATGAGGCTCTACAACACGGCGTACAAGAGGCTGCGTATTCTACCGCACACGAGCGCTACATGGCTTGATGCTCGGCCGCGCTCGCGATTAGCAAACGATGACGAGTCGTCCATTCAAGCGTGGCTTACAGAAACGAACGTTGAAGGGGAGGGAAGAGCCAAGAGGCAAACACCCATGGGTGAGGCGAGAGACCAATCTATATTCGGAGGGAATACATTTCTGAACAGCTTTACGTGCTGGGTGGACGCGATACAAGAGTTTTTCAGGGGAAAGAAGCGTTTCACGGTTTCACAAGACATGAGGAATACTCGGTGAGCTAGAGTCACAAAGAAGCCTAAAATCCTAAGAGATAAATCAACCAATAATGACAAACACGTTAATTACACATGCTCACTTGATCTACGCAATATATGTTGAGGTAATATATAATACCATAGTACAATAACATATACGCAATAAAAAATACATCAATAGATACCATAACCGGGCATGAATCATGATGCTAGAGGCACTCATTGGAACCTGCTGCCACGTGCTGCATGTAAGCTTGTGACAACTGGAGTTTCCGGGCCTGCAGATGACACACCCGAGTGAAGACCATCAGTCTAAAAGCCATAAGAACATGAGACATCAATTGCCCTTAATCTAACCATTTATGCTCACCTGTAGATCTTCTATAAAATCCACTGCAGCATGTAACAATGTTGCTGTGTCAGTTCGAGAAGAGAGCTTATTCCAGCGCTTCTGATGCATCCACAACGAAGGGATGGTCTTCGCCAGCCGCTTGAATCCGTCACTGTAGAACAAGGGAGTGGCAGAACAGTGCACTTGTTAAATCTCAAATAAAAGATGGGACATAGGTGAAACAGTTTCAAGCACTGCTAGACTTACCTGACCCGGTGTCTTCTAAGCTTCTCAGTGGCGCTTTTGCTTCGAACAGGCCGCTGCTCAAAGTTTAGCCCCTTGTTGCCACCCTTGTTTCTCCAGCTTGAGTGTCCATATTGTGATGGATGGGCTTCCCCTCGTGCAGGCAATTCAGCAGCACCACCATCAGCAGTAGCAGCAGCAGCAGCAGCAGCAGCAGCAGCAGCAGCAGCAGCAGCAGCAGCAGCAGCAGCAGCAGCAGCAGCAGCAGCAGCAGCAGCAGCAGCAGCAGCAGCAGCAGCAGCAGCAGCAGCAGCAGCAGCAGCAGCAGCAGCAGCAGTAGCAGCAGCAGCAGCAGCAGCAGCAGCAGCAGCAGCAGCAGCAGCAGCAGCAGCAGCAGCAGCAGCAGCAGCAGCAGCGGCAGCAGCAGCGGCAGCAGCAGCAGCAGCAGCAACAACTGGACGGTTCACAGCAGCAGAGCCAGCAATGTGGACCAAGGATCCAGAGGCTGAGATTAGAACAGGGGCTTCCACTCTTGTCCCGGGGAGCTCTAAATCAACGCTGGAACATTCACGAGACTTAACAATAACAGGAGCACATAGGGGAACACCAGGCGCATCAAGAAGACAAGCACTCATCATTGGGTAAGTTCCAGACACCATCCAAGCACTGTCATCACTGCCACCAATAGTGCTGGTAGCTGCATTCAGTGAGACTGTACCTAAGCTGATGTCAGAGCTTTTGGTACCCAGTGCTTCACCCACCAAGCACTGCTTTATCCAAGGCCACATGCCCGGGGCCTCAGCAATCGGATCTTCATCGCACCAGCTGCCAGAACCCTTGCGCTTGAATCTCCCCGATACAACCATGTCGTACAGCGTTCCAACATGCGCTGCTAGGGTGTTCTCACTGGGAGTCAACAGGGTCTCATCGTGGGTGTCGCCTCCTGCCGCCGATGTCAGCGCTTTTTGAGAATCTTCCAATAGCATTCCACCATGCGCAGCTATGGTGTTCTCACTGGTAACCAGGATTCCAGCAGAGCTGTCAGCCGCTCCTCCACTGATAGGGTGTGTCGGCGCTGCTTGTGCTGTCCTCGGTGGCAGCAGCTCCTCTTGGGCGAGACATTGAACAGGAGGAGAATGCAAAGTCGCGGGTGACACAGTAACTGGCAATGCAGCAGCAGAAGCAGCAGCAGCTGCTGCAGGAACAGTAACAGTAACAGCTGAAGTGTTCGCCTCTGAATGGCTCCCATGATGGCCTAAAATAGGCGCTGGAACCGCAGCTGCTGCTGTCATCGGTGCGAAAACAGGATCTGTCATCGAGGACTGAGTCAGTATGTCGGCATGTCCTCCGCCTGATGACATGCTGGGACATGTCAGGTCTTCCACACGGAACGATTCGGACTCAAGAATTGAGGCGAGGAGGCTCGTCCAGCCTTGTATTGGAGCAGCTTTTCCTGTGACTGAATCACTGAGGGCGGACGATACCGCCATGCTGTTCGCCGTACCAACAACCACAAGCGGCGAACGATCGGACGTCACAACGTCCGCGCAGGCTCTCATGAGCACTGGACCACAATCTTCAGTTGCTCCCACAATTTCCTGGACCAACCCCCCAGATTGCTGCACTAACCCTCCCGTTTGCTGCACCAACCTCCCCGTTTGCTGCGCCCACCCCCCCGTTTGCTGCAGCTTCCAGAAGATGTGTACTCCGTCGCAGTTTGCAGCGCACTCCGACGAGCAGCGCAAGTCAAGAAAAGGCATCGGGACGTCAGGGAGTTCCGTCATAGTAGTACTATGGAGTAGCAAGTAGAATCTCTTGTCCCCGATTCGTGTGACAAAAAGTAGAATCTCTCATCCACGAGAAGCAACAAAAGGAAACGGACCCGAAAGGCCTCTCACCTAGCGACGACAGGCAACGGGCCTCTGAAACTTTCAGTTCCACTGGAACCTACTATCGGACCTGTAAGTCACGTACTAAGAGTGAAGTGTCTGGGATGCATCACTCTAGCACCATACTACGCGCACAAGCCGCACTCTCCCACGCCCATGTGGAGCATACAGTGGTCGGATGAATCCAAGCTCAAGTACTGTGCGGAGTTGATGAAACTACGTGGTGGAGGTAGCACCACACCACGTGGAGTGAATATACATCATGAATGTTCCGGACGTCAACGATTTGACAGCGCCAAGTCGTTGCATTCATTGCTGAAAAGAGCTGCGGCGCGAACGACGCGGGAATACTCTACTGCGAGCACGCTGAACAATCAGTGTGCCTGGCGTTAGGGCGTATCTTTGGTTCGGGTCATGGAACTGTTCAGCTTACTGTTGGGGTCATGCGGAAATCGCGCATGACCCCAAGTGGCCTTCTGAAGCGCGAAATAGGTGGCGTTTTGTGCTGTTCGGGTCATCCGGAAAACGCGAATGACCCGAAGTGGCCTTATGACCCGAACAAAAGATACGCCCGTTTGATCTTATGAGTGTCACTCACGAGTTCGGCGAATACACCCTGTTTCTCGACCCTCTCACCTTGCGCGATTCGCTGCTACAGTGCGGTCAGGTGCCATAAACCGTATGGCTAAAACCTGCGGGCAAAGCCGCACCAGCTGGCGGAGTGGTACTGGGGGCAAAATTTTTCTTTATCGCTGTATACCCTTTTCAACCGCTTTGAAACGCTTGGTTAATGTTCTTTACCATGCAGCATCCTAGCTAACCGCTTTCTTGTGAATGTGCTTGTACCGTCGGTGATAAGACCATTTCAAACGTGGTGACGTTCTACAACCAGTGCATGTTCTGCAACCAGATGCTCTGCTAGCGCGAAACAGGGTGTACTACTAGTACGACGATAACGGAGAATCTGTACGCCTCTCGAAGCTTCGGATATTCGGTCTGACAGGTTACTGTAGTACGCATGGCGCTTCCGGACCGAGCAGTCCTATACTACGAGTGATTCTTGCAAAACGAGGTGCTGCGATGTGTGGATAATATTAACTCTTGCAAAATCAACTTGCTGAGTGCCTAGTTGACTTGCCTTGTTGCGTGATGATGGACAGGGGACTACCTTTGTGCCTACACCCGATTTTCCGCCACACCTTAGATTCGAGCCTTCTGCATATTCGGCCCTCCCACGTGATCCGGACAATCACCATTCGAAGAACGGATGGCGTAACAGCAACGTTACTTAG